AAATAGAAATGTTCTTCCCATCCGGTTGTAGATTGGGGCCAGATTGCCAAAACTTGTCTAAAATTTCAAATCCTTCATCTATCCCCAAAAGAAAAGATCAGAAATTATTTTTTCCCCTAGATGAAAAATCTAAATTCATCTTTCTCCAAATGAAAGGCCTTTTTTTCATCTTTCTACAAAACAAAGTCATCTTTTCTTTCTCCAAATGAAAGAATATCAATCTTTCCTTCTTTAAAAATAAGTCAAAAACTTAAATCTTAGTGCCAAATGCTAAGTGAATTGTGAGTTTAGGTAGATTTCAAACCTTCCAGGTCGTTGTTAGCTCAACCTTTTTAGATATTGTTATACCCAAATTGAACATCAATAGATCTATTCAAATCTAGACTTCTAGTGGTTGCCAAAATACAATTAAGCCTTCCCACATGTTAAGGTTTATCTAGCCAAAATAGTTGGCCTTTACACCAATATTTTTAAGGTTTAAGTGGTAGCAAAAATACTCTTAGCCTTAACTCTTTTGAGTTTTATCTTTCCCAAATAAGATGAACTCTACCTCTAATTGGTAGCCAGAATACCTTTAGAAATTTTCAATAGGTGTCAAATATCTCTTGAACTTTTAGGAAAATAATAAATGTTCCTAAACCTTTTCAAGTGATAGCCAAAATATCCTTGAAAACCTTATAGGTGGTAGCTAAAATACCCCTAACCCTTACGATATAGCACAATATCCCTAAAACCTTTTTTTGGAGATACCAAATATCTCTAAATCTATGATGCACAGACACAGACACAGACACACGGATACAACACAACATGGACACGGGACACATCAATTATTGAAAATATAAGACACAAACATGGGTTGAATACATCAAGTTGTGGGTATAAAAATTGCTAGCGTCGAGCATCAATGTCAAGATGATGTAAGACTTTGATATTGAGATGGTTCTGAAATGTCGTTTTGTAATTATGTTAAACATCGATGTTAAGATGACAATGGTCATTGTGGTGAAACTAAAATCATGACTCGCTAAAGAGAAATGAAAACTAGAATATTCGATGAATAGGTTATTGAGCACAGGAGATTGATTAGTGTTGTAGATAGGAAATAAAAAATTAAGTTTTTATATATTAAATAAAAATATTAAATACAATAAATTATATTTAAAAAATTCATAAAATATTTAAGACATGCGTGTCAGACACACATGTCCAATTTATATTTAATATTTTTTTCATCATAAATGTTTTCGGCATGATAATGAAATAGATGGGGATATTATTAATAGAATTCAAGTTGGATGGTTGAAATGGAGGAATGCATCAGGCTTGTTATGTGATGGAAAAGTCCCCCTAAAACTTAAAGGATAATTCTATGAGATGGTGATTAGACCTGCAATGCTTTATGGTGCAGAATGTTGGCCATTAAAAGAGAAGCATCAAATTAAGTTAAGTGTTGCAGATATGAGGATGCGTGGATGAGTGGCCTTACTCTTAGAGACAGGATACGAAATGAGCATATATGTGAAAAGGTTGGAGAAGCTCCAGTGGAAGATAAGATTAGAGAGAGTCGCCTTAGATGGTTTGGTCACACAAAATAGTCTTCCGATAACCAGGTTAGGAAAGTAGATGTATTAGATTTGACTTATGTTAAGAAGAGAAGAGGTAGACCTAAAAAGACTTGGTTCGAAAATATTAGAAATGACCTTTCTTTATTAGATTTAAATAAGAATTTAATTTTTAACATAGCACAATGGAGAAAAAGGATTCATGTAGCCAACCCCATATAATGGGATAAAGACTTGATATTGATGTTGATGACATGTTTTTGGAGTGTCCGACACATGCCGAATGATGTTTTGATGACATGTAGTCTGGATGATTGAAGTTGATTAAAGTTTGATTGAAGATTGGATTGAAGTTTTATTGAAGACTGGATTGAAGTGTAGATTTAGTTCTGGATGATTTTTAACCATTAGATCAACACACAACAGTCTGGATGGATTCTGATGACCTCATACAGAAATGAGGTTAACATTGATATGACTCTTAATGTCATTGGACCAACTTCAGTCCAATTGTGGTTTACTCCATGACACCTAGCACAAGCAAAACTCATTTTATTACATTTTGATTTGAGTAGTCTTGTATTATAGTATAATAAGTGCATTAAAGGGGCCTTCAGTGCTTTGCTTGTAGGACCTTCAACAGGATTCTAATGTTGAAATGTACTTGGTACCTTTTCTCACTTATGGAGCCAATTGCTTAATGAAACTTTGTCTTGAGGCAATTGCCTTGCTTAAGGTACTCCTAGAGATCATGTTGTGGAATTCTAACTAATAAGACATCCATCAACTAAAAATTAAAAACTGAAAAAGAAAATCCTATCTGCAAACAAACTTGAATAACACCCCCACAAATCATCTGATAAATAGGAATCCATGTTAGCACAATGAGAAATGAAACTTCTCCAACAATATTTAAGATAATATGATTAGAAGCACTGTTTGTATCATTTATTTGTGTCAATAGGAAAGCTACCAACACAACAACAACAGCATCATCATAAAGCCTTTATCCCACTACGTGAGGTTGGCATATCAAAAAAATTATCAGGCATGTAATTTTTTTTAAATGGGGGGAAAATAAGTAAGCATTTCATTCTAAGAGGTAGTTCATATGAATTTGCTGTTAAAAATCTGTATTTCAAGCAGTAAATAATTGTTCATTGCATGTAATGCTCATCCGCATGCTTAATAATCCAACTACTCAGTTGATGATAAAAAAATTAGAAAGGTAAAATAATAAATCTTTATAGAATTTTTTTAGTATTCAGCCTTTATATCACATTTTAAGGATAGTAATTTATCAATTTAAGACGTTAATATTGTCAATTAGTTCCCACTTTCTATCAAAATCTTCCATGTTTTTCTAGGTTGCTTACAATTCACCATAAAAAGAATGCCCAATGTGAAAGCTCTCAAAGCTAGGGGGTCTAGGGGGTGCCATGAACATGAGAAATTATTAAGTGTGGAGTCCGGATGCATCCGGACTCCAATGAAATCAAGTCACGTGGCTTATACATATGTTGTGTATTATACACACCCTATGTACAAGTCGTACACATGGCGTTTACAAGCTACATGGCTTGATTTAAATAGAGTCCGAACGTGGGCTACATCCGAACTCCGCACGTAATAATTTTTACATGCACATAGCATTGTCTTCTAGCCTAGCATAACAGTTGTTTATAATAATTCAAGCTTATGATATTCCAATTCAAATTCAAAGGTTATTCATGACTCAAATCCATGAAATTTCAAGTCATAGCAGGGAAATAGAAACATAAGTTCAAATCAGCCCTCCATAGCATTTTATTAATCTAGTTGCAATCGACTTAAAATAATCATCTTCGAAACAAAGATTTAAGTCAAGGATAAGCAGTTCAGTTCACCAAAACTACATTAGTTTGCAACTGTTTAGCCGTAGGTAGCCAAATCCAATAAGATGACACAATTGCACTATACCTCAATAGCACAAGTTGTAGAGGATCTTGTGAAGAATCTTGACCTGATATACTGAAAAGTTGCTTCACTATATAAGCGCATGTGCTAATGCTGAAAAAGGGGAGGGTAAATGCAAGCATTAGAAAAATATAAAGTAGGAAAATCAACACCAGAAGCCCGTAATCAATGTTAACTTTTAAATTTTAATAGATTTCTTTAAAAATGAAGACAAGAAGAAAACCATAATGCATGACATGCAAATAACAGTAAAGTGCATGAAGTAGCTGATTCCATTTAAGAAGAGGAGAAAACATAATGCCAGTACTAGTAAATTGTTGAAACCAAACTTTCAAATATGAAAATATGACAAAAGGCCAACCGATTTCAAATTTATCTAAACCCAACGTATTTAATATTAGTTTGCAATCAAAGCTAACAAAATTCAAATAGAGTAACATCATATTCCAAAAAATAAGCAAAATCCAGGTAGAAAAAACACCTAATATCAATCAAAATCACAAACTGAAATAAATTGAAAAGAAGAGTTCTTCTTAATGGTTGAAGTTATTGGAATTATTAGCGAAATGTCTACAATTTATGTTACTTAGCGCTATTGATGCATGCAAAAATTTGGGAAAAGCCCGAAACAACAAACTCGCAAAAATTTGGGGGCTCTTCCCAAATTTTTGCTCGCATCAAATTGGTATCAGAGCTTAGGTTTGTGTCTTCTTAAGTCGTGTCTTTTTAAGTCAAGATGGATAAACATCAAGTGGAAAGCGAGCAAGAAAGTAAGCCAAAAGATTTTGAAGAATCTATTCCTAAAAGGCAATGGACCACGCCACAAGAAAGTTCTTCTGACCCGATACAGATCAAACTACTCAGGATTCAAGAACAACTGCAATTATGTGACGAGATTCGAGTCCAAGAAGCGTTCACTTCTAGCATAATTTGAACGATAAATGGAAGTCATCAAACGAAAGTATGATCTTCTAATCCAAGAATCTGAAATGTCGGATCTCCAAAAATTTTGAAGCTTCCTCATCAAGAGATGAGCTTTTTTAAGTGGGGGAGAATTTGATGTAGGCAAGGGGGGGTCAAAACAAGTTGGGTGTTTTTTTGTGAGCTTTAATTTCCTCTACTAAAAATCAGCTCATAAATGCTTTCCCACTACTTAATTCAGCTCATAAATTATCTTTATTTGGTTCATTCCCCTTTACATTTGTCTATTTGGTTTCTTCTTGTGTCTCTTTGGTTTCTTCTTTGAGAATAAAAAGATGGCTTTTGGGATTTCATCTTGGCTGTTTTCCCGAGAGTCCCTTCCCATTCCCCTTGTCTTTTCGGTTTTCCCTTGGGCTGCTTGTTGTTTTCGGTTTCTGCTGGTTGTTGCTGTTCCCGTGGTCACTCCCTCTCGGTTTTACCCCTCCTGGTTGTTTTCCCGTGAAGTACTGTACTGTTTCCTGTGCTGGCTCTTCAGGTTCCTTGCTGGCTGGGCTTCCTGTGGCTGCTGGTTGAGGTTTCTCGTGCTTCTTTCTCCCTATTTTCTGTGCAGTTTTGTGGAATGAATTTGGCTGATTTTTGGGATGCCTTTTCAGGTGCTGTTTAGAATGTCCCTTGGCCTTTCATTTCCTGATTTATGTGCAATTTTTTAGGGCTGTTTTAGTGTGTTTTCTGTGCAGTTTTGGGGGGCTGTTGTGGTGTCTTTTGGCCTTCTATTTCCTCTTATTTATTAGGTTTTAAATAAGATTTTAGGGGCTGTTTGGCTGCCCTCTTTCTCCTATAAATATAAGGTGTTTTGTATGAATTAAAAGATGATATAATGTAATTTTTGGATGCCAAAACCTGCGGGTTTGTTGTTTGGAAAAGCTTGCGAGCTTTGTCCAACTTCTCTTCTTCTTCCTTCTAGGAAAGCTTGAGAGCTTCTCCTTTCTTTCGTCTTGGCTTCTAATCTATTTCTTCTCTCCGCAGGTGGCCACCCCACCTATATCCTTCTTCTAAAAACAACGAATGGCAAGCAATTTTAGATGTCTTTAATTTGTGTTTGTGTCAAAGTTTGTAAGTGTCATGAGTTGTAAGAGTCTTTTATTATAAAAAGTTGTGTTGTTTCTCATTTTATCTATTTTGTGTTCTTTGGTGTATTTTAGGGTTGGAAAAAATGCAATTTTTGGATAGCAAAACCTGAGGATTTTTGGAAAAGCTTGAGAGCTTGTTCCATTTCTTTCTCTCCTTCTTAAAAAAGCTTGCGAGCTTCTCCGCTCTTCGTCTCGGCTTCTAATCTATTTCTTCTATCCGCAAGTGACCACCCCATCAGTACCTTTCTTCTCAAGCAAGGAAATGCAAGTTTAGGTGTCTTTATTGTGTCGTTTGTAAGTGTCTAAGTTTGTAAGTCTTTTATATTATTAAAGTAAAGTTTTTTTTTGGTTCAATTGTCGTATTTTGTGTCATTTTTGAGAAATTTGTGTATACCAAATTTTTGCCTGCATCAGCTATGGACTACATGATTACGATCAGAAACTAGTGGAAGTTTACGTAGATATAAGTTATTCTAACAGAGGTCGAACCACCACCGAACCACCACCTAAACTGAAGTAAGAAACAAATAGAAGAGAAGAATACCTGCCAAAACATACTAAAAGAATTACCCAAAAACATGTACTTAACCAACTTGATTCCTTGTAGGCAACCCAAACCTGTAACATTTAAAGAAAGCTGACTCAAATAGAAGAAACTGAATAATATACTTATATAAGATTCTGCGTATATTTTATGACAATGTTGGAAATAGCAGAATCACAAAAATGAAAATCTGTTGCATAAACTCTCATGCTGGTAAATTTGCATTGGCCATAGTTAAGCAAATAATTATCATTCTAACACATCTAATGTTATCTCTATTATTAGCCTTATCTGGTAACTAGGGATCAGCCTAATTAATCACCTTCCTTAATCACTAACTAGGACATATATCTTCAAAAAGGTTGTTCATAATGTTAATTAGTTTATTCCTCCTTCGTAGCCCTTCACAATAATTCAATCACCAGAACAGACAGCAGTTTCTGATCTTTATTATCTAAGGATTAATAGCGTTCATTCTAAAATATTTTGTATAGTAAAATTAAATAATAATAATAGCTGTCAACCACATTAACCTCTGTTAAAATTGCTTGAAATTAAACAAGTTCTAATGGAAATTAAGAAACAGATTGAAGCTAGCCTTCTTTGGGAAACGAAGCGTCCTTTTTGGTTGGCGAGCATCATACCAATCAGAAAAAGAGAATGATGAAATTCATTTGTGTCCACTTTAGGGATCTAAATAGAGTCTATCCCAAAGATGAATTCTCATTGCCTATACTAGAATTTATGATGGCATATAGCTTCTTCGCATGTGATTTTTTGTGTCATAGATGGTTCATATGGTTACAACTAAATTAAGATTGCCCCTAAAGATGAAAACTTTATTGTGTTCAAAACCCTCTCCGAATGTTTCGTTTTAAGGTCATGCCTTTTGGTCTTAAAAACGCTGATGCAACTTATCAGTGGGCTAGGACCCAAATATTTGACAAATTTATTCATAATTAAGTAGAATGTTATGTCGATCATTTGTTTTTCAAGAGGAAAAAAAAAAGGAATACCATTTTTATGATTGGAGAACTAGTTTTTAATGATTGCATCACTATGATATGAAAATAAACCCTCTAAAGTATGCCTTTAGAGTGACTTCAGTTATGTTTCTAGGTTTCATAGTGAAGGCCATTGAATCGAAATTGATCTCACCAAGATTAAAATTGTCTCAAAAATAAAACCTCATAAAAGTTTTACATAATTATGTTCCGAGGTTGGTCAGCATATCTAAGACAATTCATTTTGAATTTGTTAAACAGGTGTCACCCATTTGTAACTATATCGAACGAGGATGACCAATTCTATTAAGAATATAAGTATCAAAATACTTTAGATAGCATAAAGCAGTATTTAACCTAACCTCCAACTATGACTATCCCAATTCAAGAAAGCCACTAATTCTCTATGCAGTGGTTTTGGATGAATCTCTTAGAGCCTTATTAGCTCAAACAAATAAGGAAGAAAATGACAATGGGTTATATTATCTATGGTGAAGTTTAATTCTTATTGATGTGCATTATCCGCCGCTTGAGATACACTATTTGGCCTTCATTTTTGCTGCACATAAGGAACTACATGCTTTCTCAAAAAAACTGGAAGGTTGGATATTCTCTTCGGCGACCAAGAACAGAAAGAAAAACTTCCTAAGGCAAGTCAAGGATTCTAAACCACAGATGAATTCGCTATGCATTGGGGAAGAGAAGACCCCTGCATTTGACCTCTGGTACAAGGGACCAAGGTCATGCTATCAGCTAAGAAAGGCTACCTCTTATAGAGAAAAGAACTTCAAGCAAAAGACTTAATAACATGGCAATACATTTCTCAAAAACTTCTAACCCGAGCACACGCAATGGAGCTGTAGACAGTCAAGTGAAATCCAATCAATTTGAGTTGTGGTAAAGGTCGTAATGCCAGAGGGATCATTACCGCAGGGCATAGAGGGGGAGGAAAGAGAAATAGGCAAGAAAAAAGAGTCTGGCAAAATGGCATTCAATGAAAGGAGCTAGTTTCTTTCAACAGGCTGAATGTACAAACAAGTACTATAGTAAATAATTTGTAATATCATATGCTCATCCAACTGTCCCAATTTTTGGCATGATAACCTATCATTTTGCTCCAATTTAATATAATCATACCCTTGCATGCTATAAAAGATCATGCAAGTGACTTCTTATAAGTACAATTGATCCTTATTGAGTCCTCTTTAAATGAAAGATGTTCTTCCCGATGAATAGACCATGATTTTAGAAACGATGATCTTCCCCATGAATAAACCATGATTTTACAATATAAAAAAAACTCCACTTGGATGTTATATTTTGATGGTGTTGCATCTTCTCAAAGAAGTAAAAGTTGGAAAGTTCTCCTTAGCTTTTTGATCGAAAGAGAAGAAATCTCCTACAACTCGGAGGTTAGAGGAGAATAAGAGGAAACCTATAGCTTTTGAGCTATGGTCAAAAATTTTTTAGGGCTTTTGGAGCCCATAGAAATGAGGGAAGATTTGTAGCTTTGAGGCTACAAATCAATAGAATTTCTTTGGACCTTTAGATATCCGAAGAAAAGGACTCATTCACATAACTTGGGTTAGGAGAATAAAGAAGAAATAAGATTAATATTCCTATGTTTGGTATAGGAATATGAGTTGATTTTGACCTAACAAGAGAATTTGTTTGATGTGAACTCTCCCATAACTTTAAGGTTAAGGGAAGACAAATTTTCTTTTAGTTTTGGAGCTAAGGGAAATGGGATCAAACCTATAGCTTTAAGGCTAGATTGATGAAGTTCTCTTTAGCATTTGATTCAAAAGATAAATGAACCAACACTTAGTCTTTAGACAAAAGTTAGGAGGAATTCCCATAGTTTGAGAAGCTAAGGGAAGTAGAATAAAACTCATAACTTTGAGGCTGAGTTAGAGAATTTTCTAGGACTTTTGGTGTCATAGAAAGGATAAATGACCTATAGTTTTAGAACTACAAGTCAAGAAGCATTCATTGGATTTTGCATTCAATAATGCACAATCATCTACCTATTATGTATTAAATAAATGTAGAAGGGTGAAAAGTAAATGTAGATTACAAATCATAAGAAAATTTCCTTGAATGTTTCGATGTTCAAAGAAAGATGTTCCCTCACCTAACTTGGGTCAAGTAAATGAAAGATCTCCTACAACTTTTGAGTTGTAAGAGCATGCAACTTGGAGATATGCAAACTAAGAATGAATCATTGAATTTTCTCTTCAATGAGAATTGATTATCCACCTAGCTTGGTTAGGTAAATATGAGAAACAACATGAAATTTAGATGTTGCACATTGGAGAAGAGTCTTTGAACTTTTGATTGTTCAAAGAGGGAAATTCTTCCATCCAACTTGGGTTGGAGGGATGAGAAGAAGAGAAAAAGCAACTTACTAGTTGCAAATTCATGAATATCCTTAGAACAATTGATGTTCAAAGAAAACCATTCATTTGTCATATCCGGTGCTATGCAAATGGAGGAGGATTTGTTGGGTTTCTTACAATCCTGACTTATAGGAAATAAGGAATAAGATGCAACTTGGAGGTTGTAACTTAGAGGAAGTTCTTTGAAAATTTTATGTTCAAAGAAAGGATGATTATCTACCCAATTTGTGTTGGGCAAATACAAGAAGGTGACATGTAGATTTAGATTACAAGTCATCATGAATTTCTTTAAACCTTTAGGTATTCAAAGAGGGGGGTTCATTCTTCCAACTTGGGTTGGAGGGATGAAAGGAAGAAAATACAACTTAGGAGTTGCAAAGTGGAGGAATTTCTTTGAGCATTTGGTATTCAAAGAAAAATGTGCACTTGTTTAAGTTGGGCTAAATGAGGAAAACTAGGATTTAGATCTTATGTCTAGAAGATTACTCATTGGTTTTGTGTTTCAACAAACAAAGGGGTGGAATGAACCTAGGACTTTGGTCCTAAGGATATAGGATTCATGCAATGAAGTGTTTGGGAGTTGGGATACTCCAAACCATCATGCATGAGAATGATGAATGAATGTTTGTTGATTTTGTGCTTCAACAAACAAATTGAATGAACCTGATTTGACCCTAGGGCTTGTTTGTGTTCTTTTGGGTCCTTTAGAGGTTATTTGGAAAACCTCCATGTGAGTTTGGAGAGCAACAAGCAAGGATACCATTTGTGGTTTTGTGCTCCAACAAACAAGGAGGGAGAATATGGAATTTGGCTCCAAGCTCAAATGATTCATGCAATGATGTGCTTGGAGTTTTCAGAAAATCTAAATAATCGTGCATGAGAGAGGTGATTGTTTGTTGATTTTATGCTTCAACAAACAATGAGTGAAATGATTGATCATGCAATGAAATATTTGAAATGATTGATCATTCAATGAAATATTTGGAGCATTGAGATGCTCCAAATTTTTCATGTATGAAAGGGAGGAGAAAAGATTGCTTATTGATTTTGTATCAACAATCACAATGACATGAACCTAGGATTTTGATCTTAAGTTAAAATAATTTATGCAATGAAATTTTTGAAGCCTTGAGATGCTCCAAACTGCCATGCATGAGGAAGAGGAGGATCTACTAGAGAGATCCTAATGCATTAAAAATGATTCCTAAATTAATTTTAGCATTATGAGGAGATTTGGAAAGCAGAGATTTATTCCTATAACTTCTAGGAGGTTTTAATATCAAATTTGGTATGCTCTAAAAAGAACCTAGGAGTGTATGCATGAAATGATTTGTCATTTAGGATAAACATTGAATGCCTGCATCATTTGTCATTGCAATCAAACCTTTCAATCTTCGAATCATACTAATCATGCTTAGGTAATTTCAAAGTATGGTAGAGTATGATCCATAGACTTTGAATGTCATGGAATACACCAACTTTGCTTCACAAACATTTTGGCAATTAAATGAGCATGCTTATAGGTTCCCAAATTTAGGTAAATAATGAGCTAGCAAAAGACCCATAATGTGCATTCATCTGGGATTTGAGCAATGCAAACTAATTTGATTAAGTGTGCAAACATTTGGATTGGAGATTTTCACTTGTTTTGATTCTCTAAATTCGGAAAAG